ATTTATACACCTGATATGCTCAAAATCATTTCTACAGGTTTATGCATCTCCTGGCTTGCTGCTGTTTCAGAACAACTGACACTGCCTGGCAGTGCACCATCCGACATCAGTTTGCATATTGCTATGCTTATAAAGAGATCAACCAATTTTTGTAATACCATGGCATCTCACTATTGAGGATAACTGACATTAAGTCCATTTTGATGCATTTGATAATTTGCTCCACACTCCTATAAGACTGCTTAAAAATCCTTCCGTTACGTTCCAGCCATATGTTGTAAATTGAGGAGGTGAGAGCCATCCTTTTGACATTGATCTTAAATTCTTTCCTCCTTTGGTTAGCTTCATACCATCCTATCAACAGGTTCCAGTCACAGCTTTTCCAATGGAATTGCAACCGAACTAAATAAAATTGATATAGATAAAATCATATATATACATATAAGTATGAAACAAGAAATGTATTTTCAATCGTGTTCAATTGCTTCATATTAAAACTTAAAAAACTCAAAATCATGTATGTATATATATAACTAAATATACATAGAAACCAAAACTTAACTTATGTATATATATATAACTATATATATATATACAAAGAAACCAATAAAATATGTGTGCATATTATATTGAGCTTAAAGTACTAACACACATAATATAAACTCCTAAATTAAATTACCCAAGCTTGATCTTGATCTTCAATAGCTTGACTTGGTAATCTCGCGGATGAAGCTTGAACTTGAATCTTTAACTTGAATTGCATAGCTTCAACCACTATATATATATCCACCAACCTCCATTTGATATGATCGTTATGGTGCAATCCATCCAACCTCCAACATGTTGTTTGTCTACAATAAATAGAAATATACCAACACTAGACAAATAACATTAGAAGTAAATTGTTTGTTAAACATCATCAAAACAAGAAGGCCAACAAGTTCTAGTAATAAAGAAAGATAAGAAAAAATGAAAGAATTTTTGAAAAAATAAAAGATTTTTTTTTCTTTGTAAATTGCATGTGCAAATACACATGCCATAAATATTAAACTCACTTATTCTAAATTTTATATAAAAAGAGTGAATTATATTTTAATACCCTAGAGTTTCATCAGCTAAGAGATAATAAAAGAAATATTTGTGTGTATTAACCAATTTTTCGTCACTAGCATAATTGCATGTGCAAATACACGTGCCAGAGATATGAAACTTATTTATTCTAAATTTTATATAAAAAAGTGAATTATAATTTTAATATCCTAAAGTTTCATCAGTTTCTTAATTTGTACATCATACTCTTAAATAGTTAAGGTATAACTTTATAAAAATGTAATATGGTAATCTTATTCGAGCATGAGAATGTAGCTTTAGATTTACTTGATGTCAACTGAAATCATTGAAGAACATATTTTTAAATATTATAAAAAAAGTATAAGGAGCTATTTAAAATTTCTATTATTTAGAATTGAAGTATTCTTTAAAGTGTGATTGGTAAATTTTTTAAATTATTATATTTTTCTTTAACATGTATTTAATAATTATTCTTAAAAAGCTAATCATTCTATATTTTAATCTCTTATAAAATATAACTTGATGAATATTTAATTATATTAGTTCAAATCCTATTTTCATTCACAATTTAGAGTGTTCTAGAGATAAGAAAATGATGAATATTAACTAAAGTGAATGGAAGCATACTCTCCTTCGTAGTTTAGAATATTCTAGAAGTAAGAGAAGAATAAAAGTAAGGAAAATATTATTTCATGTGCAAAATTGTCAATATGCCTCTTACTCTTCTACTATATATGATGAGAAATGCCCTTGAATCTTTTTGACACCCCCACTAAAATTTTAATATAACAGGGTAGAAGTCTTTAACAAATTTCCCATGTCCTTCAATTTTTTCCGACGACCATTAAGTTTTTCTTATAGTAGCGTAGACGTGTTGTTAAGTCATTGTGTGAAAGCTTAAAAAAAGAGTTTCATCACTAAAGCTTGAAGGAGATGATGTGTTAAAGGAGATGATATCTTACAAGTTACAGCTACGGTTTGTTTCTTTCGCTTAACAAGAGTACTTTTCTTCTAAAGTGATGTTATCTTTGGTTAATTAATGGGTATTAAGAGAGAGAGAGAGAGAGTTATTATTGCCCAAAATAGGACATTCCTCAGCTATAACTTGCAACTTAATCTTTCATAGACGTATTTCATGTGTTCTTTAGTGAATTGTTTTAGAATCATAAGTTTCATCACGAAAAATGACAGTTGCAGAACTATTTTAATTTTGACTAGAAAAAATCAATCTGTAACCTTGTTTTAGGTATCGTTTGATAAAGGGTTAACTAAAGGGTTAAGGAGACTTAACCCCTCCTTATAATCTCCAAACACAAAAAAAAAATGTAAAGATTAAAGTGCATAAGATTAAAGTGTATCAATCCTCTCCGTAATTTGTCAAACATGAAAACCGTACAAGGGTTAAGATAACCCTTGTAGACGGGTTAAAATGAGTTAACTCCTCCAAGTGATGAGTTTATTAACAAACCTATTTAGGAAGATTAAGGGAGATAACTCCTCTATTTATAAAGGAAATAGTCAAAATCTTCTTTATTCCCAAACACTAAAAGTGATCACAAAGATTGAACTGAATATTACTTAACGTACGGTTAACAATTTAATCCTTTGGTTATCAAATGGGCTAACCATGTTAACCATTCTTCTTAATCTCTCGTCCTTAAGTGTAAGCGAAATGGCCCCATAAGGTCTAGCATGATCAAAACCATTCAAACACAAAATCGAGAATAACTCTTGTTTTTGAGATACGGAAAAAATGTTTTGTGCATGTTAATTTTGGGCTTAATATTAGAGAACCCGGCCCTCTTTAACTTGGCACACGGATAACATTCAATAATTTTCAAAATATCAAAAAATCCTTCTTAAGTTTAGGTGTTATCAGAAAAATATCCCATAAAATCCCTTTTACTTTAAGCTTTTATCAAAAAACCTCATAAAAGATGAATCACAATTTTTCACTAGAAAAAACATCCACTTGCGTAATTTTACTCACCCATGTGAAAAATTATGATTAATGTTATTAGAGGAGTTTTAAATAAAAACTTAAAGTTAAAAGGGGTTCTTGATAACTAAAGGTTCCATGTTTTGACATTTTTTGTGCCTTAACCTACTAGCAACTCATCCTTTTAAAAACACAATTTTTTAAAGAATGTGTTTGATGTCGTTTCTCGTGAAACTGAGGGTTGCAGATCTATAATGTGTTTTTGAGAGTAGTAAAGCGAAATTTGAGATGCTTCATAAAGGGAAAATCCAATTCTACGGACTTGTTTTCATTAAATTAACACAATGGGGGTTTCAGATGACAAGTTTTGAACTTTTTTGCACTCAAACTACTAGCATATCTCTCTCTCTCTCTCTCTCTCTATATATATATATATATATATATATATATATATATATAATTTGAGATGATTCATTGAGAAAATTTAGAGCTTTGGAAGGTTAAATAGCGAAGATTGAGGAACGTGGAACATTTGTTGGAGAAAAAACATTAATGAGGTCCGAAGATAGCTTAGAGCTAAGAGCTTTACCCTCTTTCGTACACCAACTTGTTTATGAAAAATTTCAATAATTCAGGAGGTTTTGTGTAATTTGAAAATCCTGTGTGGTTCTATCTAATTTAGGGGGTTTTAAACAAAACCTTAAAATTCAGGGAGCAATTCGTTCATCTGCAAGCCGCACGTGCTACAAACTCATGGCCGTGGAGGCCCAATTATAGACCAACTCCACGTGTGCTTGTGTGATGAATATGAAAACAGTTGAATCCGTATCAAATAATTATTACCTCCTAAAATTTAAAAATTAATTAGTTGCAGACCATCGTGTATCAAGCTCAACAAAAGAATTTAATCAATAAAACTCGAAGGAGATGATGGCTTAAAATTTGTTTCTTTCACGTAACAAGAGTTTCTTCGTGAGAGTGTTACTGTTACCTTTAGCTAATTAACAATATATGGGCATCAAGAGATTGATCTTAGCGCCAAAAATAGGATATTCCTTCTCGTAGCCAAACATAAACTATTTCTTGCAACTTGATCTTTCATAAATATATTCCGTGTGTTCTTAAGTGAATTGTTTTTAGAATCATCATAATTTTTTTAAGGGTAAATCACAGAAACCCCCCCTGAAATTTTGAGCGTTTGCAAAAAAACCCTCAACCTTTTGAGACTAAGGGATTATTTTCAACTTTTTTTTTTGCGTATGTTTGCCACATGAGAGATGTTAGAATCGACGATACTAATTGAAAATTAAATGCTAAATTTTCATATGAAGTTTAGTGGAATGAATGATTTTAGGGGATTTATGTACAACAATTCCTAAAATTTCAAGGGGTTTTAATGAAATAAAAAATTCAAGGGGGTTTTAGCGCAACTCCCCCAAAGTTCAGGGGGCTTTTCTGTAATTAACCCCGGGTTTAATCCTAAAAATAACAGTAGAGTTTTTGACTAGAAAAAATCGAATCCGTAACCTCTTTTGTTATAAGGTCTTACATGATCAAACCGTTTGAAATGCATAATGAAGAATAATTCTTAAAGTTTTTGAAACATGGAAAAAAAATTTAAAAAACTTCGTACATGTTAATTTCGGTGGATATGATTTTAAGTTTTGGCCCTTTTAGGTAGTATACTTCGTCAGTTTACGAGGCTGATGCAATATTTCAAATTTCGGCTACTAAATTCCAAAATAGCACAGCCCCGGATTTGGAATCTTGGATCTTCGCGGGCTTCGTTATCCGCATCTCAAAAATATTCGGTGGGCTCCTTTGTAAATTACCAGGTATCTAGGGGCATATATGAAATCATTTTAATAATTTGTTCAACAAAATTCCCGCGAGGCCTTTCTTGAAAACTCTGGAGCTCTAACAACCAAATATTTAATCGTTTTTCAAAAAATAAAAAACATTAAACTAATCGCTATTTAAACCCCCAAAGCAAACTGAACTCAGTTTTCCACTTTTCCTAATTTAGCTCCTCTTTCGAAATTCTTTTTCCATCGATTTCCCTCGAATCCTCTCGCTCAACGTGATGTCCTCGGATGAATTCGCATCGGATTACGTTAAGTTGCAGCCGGAGCCACCGCCGGCGAGATCGCCGGAGAAATCTTGGATTTTCGACGAATTGCCGGCGGCGACGATTGTTTCGGTGTCTCGCCCCGATGCCAGCGATATCACGCCGGTGCTGCTCTCTTACACGATCGAGTTCCAGTATAAGCAGGTAATTTGATGTTATATATTTTTGGTTGATTTTGCGAGGAGTTAGAGTTTCATTAATTTTGAGAATTTCTAGTTGAATGCCCTAATTTACACGAGATGAACCGTGTCCTTTGTGTTTCTTTTGGGGGGAAAATCACAACTTTAGGCCATTGTCTCGTCAATTTATGGATTTAGCTTATTTTTCACTTATTATTGAACTGTGGCCTATATAATCAGTCTCTTATGTACATGCGAGATCATGGTACTGTATATCTAAATGGTATAGATTTGGAGCATAATATTCTCTTATAGATGTAAGTGCAAAAGTAATTCTTGAAATGATGTGCAATTTCTTTTTTCAGCGCACGCATTGTATTTAAATTAGACACTCACCAACTAACTTTTGTTATCTTACTTAATTTGGCAGTTCAAGTGGCGCTTACTGAAGAAAGCCTCCCAGGTTATCTATCTACATTTCGCATTGAAGAAGCGCGCCTTTGTCGAGGAACTACATGAGAAGCAAGAGCACGTGTGTTCTTGATGGATATCTCTCTCGTATTGTTTTGTTCTTGATTTTTTCCCCCTGTTATACAGAGCATTCCCATTCTGTATTTTCTAGCTGCATGTAGAACTTAGAACTTCTGCGATTCTTATTGGTTTTTGAGAACAAATACAATGACTCTACGTTGTTATAAAAATCTATGACGGGTTCCTTAATTTGCAAAGTTAATAATTAGGACTATAGTTAGAAAAATGAAGATTCCACAAGCGCACTTCCTGTTGTTTCACTGTTGTTTGAAATTCTCTTTACGCTTGAGCTTGGCCACCTGTTTGCTATTTTGTCTCTGGTACAGCTTGCTAGCTACTTGGATCTTTATTGGTATCAATTCAGTGAGCATTTAGTTTGACATACAACAGACTCATCCAATTTCATGCGCCAACTACCAGATGCTTGTGGCTTTAATATGCCTTTTCCTTCTCATGTACTTAAGGTTAAAGAATGGCTTCAGAATCTTGGGATAGGGGAGCATACAGAAGTTGTACAACACGACGAAGTAGATGAAGAATCAGTGCCTATACAGCACGAAGAAAACATTTATTCCCGAACTAGGTGTATTCTTGCTCTTTGTCCTCTACTTTTCTGCTCAACATGTCAATATGTAATGCTGTACGAACAATCAATTATGCTTATAGAAACAACTCCTAGCATATAGAAACAACTCCTATATTTTATACAATGGACAATGAAATACACCTCATTATGCTCTAGGAGATGCATGTTCTCTAATGTCTTTGTCCTCTACATATTGCAGAAAGTTTTTCTTGTCAGATGTATGTTCTCTAATGTGTTTGTCCGAGAGGGCTTGTAGTGTGAATTTTGACCTCTCCCAAGAGGTCACATGAGGCTGTTAAGTCCAATAATGATGACATGAGTCCATGCTGACACACACACGCGCGCGCTATATGTACACACACACACATAAAGTTGTAAACATACACACATACATACATATACACGTATATACATGCCCACATGTGTGGGCGTGTGCCTCTGTATATATATACTTTATATACAGGGTAAAAATAATCGCAATGATGCTGTAGACCACACCTTAAGAAGAGCTGATGTGGTCCCTTTCCATAATTAACTAGCTTAGATTTAGTGCATGACCTGGTTGAACTATCCAGAAACTAAGAGCATGTTTGGGAACTTTGGATTATAATCCACTTAATCAAATGGATTATAATCCACTTGGATTACAATGAAGAGTGTTTGGAAAATTTAGTGTATTATGATCTATTTTCGATAGTAGAGTGTTTGGCAAATGGGTGGACTATAATCCATAAGTTGTATCGAAATGACCAAAAAAGACATGGCTCTAAATTTAAGCTTAATGGATTGGAGAGAGATTGGGCTTGGAATTTTGTGAAATGATGAGGGATATCATGTATTTTACACGGTCAAACCTTGTGGTTTATAATCCACACGCAAAAAAAAAGCAACTTGGCACTTGCCAAACATCTCAAAGTGGCTAATAATCCACTTTCTTTTTGGCTTATAAGCCACTTTGATCACTTGCCAAACATGCTCTAAGACTCTGTACATCCAAATGAGTAGTAGTTGTGCTTGTGAGGAGTTTCATCTGAAATGATCTTTATCCTCCTATGTATCATCCATTTTTATCCTTATCCAATTTTTGATGCTATCCCCATCCATTGTTGGTGTGGCTAACATACTGTCTTATACATTGTATCTTGAGTTTGGTTGTACATCTGGGATAATGGAAAACAATTTATTATGATTTATGAACGTTCAAGCTGCCTGATATAGCACATACTTCTTTTTGTTTAACATGGTAACAACACTGATGGATTAAATCTGAGGAGATAATAGGACTCATAACAGTAGAAAAAAGTCATCATCTCGACATGAGTAATGCAATCCTGGTGGTTAATTCCTTGCATAGGATCCTCAGAGGAGAAGTTTTTTTTTTGGGTGGCTGTTGTAGACCTTCTACTAATTAGATCCTTAATATTATGCAGAAATGTTCCTTCTAGTGCTGCCCTGTCAATAATTCGACCAGCGCTAGGAAGACAATCTTCTATTTCTGACAGGGCAAAGATGGCGATGCAGGGTTATTTGAATCACTTTTTGGGAAACTTGGATATTGCAAACTCTCAGGAGGTATGAGGATCTTTTTACGAACCTAATGATTGCTTTATAAGTAATATCAAAGTGTTCCTTGAAGGATTGAGATACGGGGTCTCTGGAAAATGAAAGAACCTCTTTTAAATATTTAATTTAATGTCCTCAAATACGTAAATATCTAATCAAGTAAAAATCAATATACCTGACAGCTGAAACGTCTGTGTTGGTGAGTGCAAGACCTGTGAAATGGCAAAATGTTGCATGCGTGTATTTAAGTATTTATTGACTTTGTTTGGGTCTAGAAATTGGTGGAGTAATTTATTGATTTTGTTGAGTGCAAGGTCTATGAATTTTCCATCTCTTCCTCCCAAATCACATTTTGACTGTCATGTATTCCATTTTTTCAATCTCCGCGTTCTAAATGTTAGCTGCTAAAGTCCAGTGGTTAGGAAGAATTTTGCTGATAGTTCTATTGAAAACTATTCATTTTGCAGCCACGTGAGACCTGCTTAGTCTGTTCTTGACTATATTTTTTGGCGCATTAGTTGCCAGTTGATTTTACAGAATTGTATTTTGGAGAGCAACTGAAATTAGTCTTCTTAATGTTTCTATTGTAAGGCACATATCTTTTAGTGTCAGAGATTGATTATGAAACTAACCCATATGCATAGGTTTGAACCATTTTCGCATCTTTTTTGTTATTAACTTAACCGAAGTAATATAATCTGCAGGTTTGTAAATTTCTGGAGGTCTCTAGGTTATCTTTTTTGCCAGAGTATGGACCTAAACTAAAAGAAGATTATGTAACAGTAAGACATTTGCCAAAGATTCAGAGGGCTGATGATGATACAAAGTGTTGTGCATGCTATTGGTTTAGCTGTTGTAACAGCAACTGGCAAAGGGTATTGCATTTTTCTCTTTTGCTCATTTTACAGAATGACAAAGTTGCATTATGTTAACCACATTTAATTAACTTTTAGCTAATAGCTTAAGTTTTAAATGTTATAAAAAGAATTTATTGTGTAAATAATCAAAGAAATGCTAAAACCACTAGGCTTAATTTATTCCTGGTTAACTTTGAACAATTGCATGACAAGCTTTAGGGAAAGTACTTCATTGTCAATGAACTATATGTATCACTATCATCATAATTATTCACATGATATTTGATGCTAAAAAAGAAGAGAGAAACCTTTGAAAATTAAACAGATGCAATTGTTTATTCTAGCTCTTTGGCAGCTGACATCTATGAGATGGTTGAATCTTAGTAACAATATACGTATCTCATATGCATAAGCTTACTAGATTGAGGTTGTGTATCATAGTGCAGATCCAGTATGAACATTGGAGGATTCTCTTTGATTACATTATATTAAAGTACATAACCAGTATTTTATATTTTCCAACTTCACAGCCAGCCCTTTTGGATTTATGCTGAGCCTCTCTCTTGTTGACACTTTCCTCTGCCAACAATTTAACACCGACTTATATGATATTAGGTTGCTAGCTGGTCATAGAATTTGTCAAATGGCTTCCTCATGGCCGGTTCCACTTTTGGTTGAAAAGATTTTGGATGACAATGACCTGAATTGCTTAGTTTACCTTTTAATTATAGTATATTTCTCTATTTGATGTCATTTAGTTCAGCTGACAAGTATGATATTCTTGAATAGGTGTGGGCTGTACTAAAACCAGGCTTCTTGGCTCTGTTAGAAGATCCTTTTAATCCCAAGCTTTTGGATATAATTGTTTTTGATGTATTACCACCATCAGATAGAAACGGAGATGGTCGGGTTCTTCTAGCAAAAGAGACCAAGGAACGCAACCCCTTGTGGTTCGGATTTACAGTGAGTTACTTTAGATCTCTTTGAATAGTTTTAACAGAATTTCGACCTTATACACATGCAGGGATGTCTGCTGATTCTTCTTAGTTTCCGTCTCATTCGAATCAAACGAGCTAAATTCAGAAAATCTGCAAATTATCTGCACATCATTTTGAGTCTACTTGTGTTGTGCAAATTTAGTCTTTTGTGAAATTTATTTAATTTTAAACATTTTGATTACTATCATAAAGAGTTTCTGGCTATGTCATTGGCATATTGATCATTGACAAAGTATAGATAAAGCTATATTGACCATATACTGTTGGGTAATGTTTGCCTGTCATATTGTGTACATAAGCTAAGGGATGTGGGACATGGGCATGGCGTGAAACAGATTGCGTCAGTTCATCAAAAACTTAGCATATGAATGTATTATCGGGTGCATCAAGCTGCAAATAGAAGGAAGTTATGACAAAGCCCTCTCATGCTTATAATTTGCTGGGCCTCTAGGTAGGAAGTGATACCAATTGACAATAAGCCTCTTGGCCTACTCAGAATCACACCCATTATGATAGAAAATCTTCAGAAAGTGTCAAGGTTGAACAATAATGAAGGGTTGCTGTTATGCTCTTTTTACGTAAGTCATAAGTCAGTAATTTTACTGTTGTTATTCGGAGCATTGCTAGAGCAAAATTTTATGCAGTAAGCTTTGCCTCTATAACCTCTTAGTATTATGCTATTGGTTTACATTTGTAAATTTTCATATTTCCGATAAATTTCTGAAGCTAGAGGTACTTGAGCTTGATCTTATTACATTCAGGACACTGTTAGCAATATTGATATAATCTATTGTGGTTGATTTTTTTTTTTTTTGAACTGTTTTACTACTGTCGTCGATTTTAACTTAGCCCTCACTTGTATTGCATTTACTATGGAACTTTGACCTTCATTTTCTGGTTCTGAGGAAGATTTCATTGTTCTGGTTCAATCTCTAATCGACATTCATCTCAAAGGTATCATGCGGGAACAGGACCATTAAATTGAGAGTGAGAAGCAGTGCTAAAGTTAAAGATTGGGTTGTGGCAATAAATGATGCGGGCCTACGAGCACCGGGGGGTTGGTGTTTGCCTCACTGTTTTGGTTCTTTTGCTCCTCCTAGGGGGTTAACAGAAGATGGCAGTCAGGTCCAGTGGTTTGTTGATGGACAAGCTGCATTTGGTGCAATTGCTTCTTCTATTGAAGTAGCAAAATCAGAGGTCAGTTTCTTCACTCATTCACTTCAATAATGTGATACTAGCAATTTACAAAATATTAACAGGGGCAGTTCTGAAATGATTGAAATTTGTTTATAGATATTCATTACTGGCTGGTGGCTCTGTCCTGAGTTATACCTTCGACGTCCTTTTCACGTTCATGCGTCTTCTCGGCTTGATTCCTTGCTAGAGGCAAAGGCTAAACAGGGTGTTCAGGTACTTTCAGCATTACCATATGTGTTGTTTCACTTGTTCTATTCCAGCTATAGTTATTTGGTTCGTCGACCTTGATTCACTGAAATTACTGATGTTGTGACTATGGTGAAGCTTTCTTGCATGTTCTTATTGGCTTTGTAAACATATTATCGCCTGTAACAGAGATTGAAGTCTGATGTTTGACAGGGAAGCATGGATCATCTTTACATGTCAATGATAATATGTCTTATTTTCTGTTAGCATCAAGCAGTTGAATTATTTGGTTCTAATTAATAAGCTGCATATATTTGTAAATTTTATGTGGAGTAGCCTATCCTATTTGCTCATGATTGTCAACTAATTGGCACTAATGTGTAGATTTACATCCTTCTTTACAAAGAAGTTGCCATTGCTTTGAAAATCAACAGTATATACAGTAAGCGAAGGCTGCTTAACATTCATGAGAATGTTAAAGTTCTGCGCTATCCTGATCATTTCTCAACTGGTGTTTACTTGTGGTATGAAATCTTCCACGAATCAATCATCCCTTCCCTAAGATTTATTTTTTATGAGAAGAGAATACATCATGCAGTTGTGCTTATGAATAAACTCTGGTTAAGTGCAGGTCGCATCATGAGAAAATTGTGATTGTTGACAATCAAATATGCTATCTGGGAGGACTTGATTTGTGCTTTGGTCGTTATGATAACCCAGAACACAGAGTTGGTGATTTCCCACCTACTATTTGGCCTGGAAAGGACTATTATAATCCCAGGTAACTATGCTAATGCTTTGAATAACCTTAGATACAAAAAATATCTCTTTGAGATTGCAACAATTAAAAATATGGTCTTGTTGCATAAAGCATGACTAGTATTTTTCGCTTTCTATAGGGAGTCTGAGCCAAATTCTTGGGAAGACACAATGAAAGATGAGCTGGATCGACTGCCTTGGCATGATGTCCAATGTGCTCTGTGGGGGCCACCTTGTCGTGATATTGCAAGGCACTTCGTGCAACGTTGGAATTATGCAAAGGTGATTTTTTTTTTTCATTTGTTGTTTGCCTTCCGATGGTTGTATTGTACTGTATTCTCAAGTTTGTTCTCTCTTGCAGAGAAACAAAGCTCAACATGAGCATGCCATACCCTTACTTATGCCTCAACACCACATGGTTATTCCACATTACATGGGGAAAAGCAAAGACAATGATGTAGAGCATAAACAACTAGAACCTAGTCATAAAGACGTCAAAAGTCGGGAGTCATTTTGCTCACTATCATCATATCAAGACATCCCGTTGCTTTTACCTCAAGAACCTGATGGGCTGCTAGTAGCAAATTCAAAAGTGAACGGAAACTTGAATCACAGTCATCTGGATCATAGAAGCAGAAGCAATCATATATCATCAATCTCCTTAAGGAAGACAAAAGAAGAGCAATCTGTTCCAGATAAGCAGCTGAAAGCCTTTGTGGATGACCTTGGTCTTTCACAAACTCAGAGTGAAACACGGTGTGATATGATTTCTCAATCAACTGCAGACAAAGAATGGTGGGAATCCCAGGAGAGGGGTGACCAAGCTTTTTCCATTGACGAAGCTGGTCAAGTTGGACCTCGCACACCATGTTGTACTCAGGTTGGTTTAACGAGACTTTCTTAAAAAGTAAATTGGGAGTACTATCAATTTCTTGTTCTTTCAATGTTTTTTTTAACCTTCTGGTCCAAGATATACTTCATATTTGCTGGAACTCCTTATGTATGACTCTGTAACCCTTTCAGTACTCTAGCTTTATTTTTCTTAAATTTCATAGCAGAACCTACTTATTAGTGTCTGCATTCATTTGATTAAAGTGTGGGTTTGGTTTAGCAAAGACAGGTGATGGGATTTAGTCCCTCCACAGAAAAACAATCAGATGGTTTTACGGTTAATATCTTGGACTCAGGACTCAACTACGGTTAATTCTTTTGAGTCGATTATGGTCCAAGTAGATTAGGCAAGTTCACCTATATTCATGGGTCTTTGATACAGAACATATAAATATTTCCTCTTGCCTAACAGTTCTTTTTCTTGAAGAAATTTATGTGACATATTAGAGACCCTAAACTTAATAGAGAGAACGCATTTTATCATTCCTCAAAGTTTCATATTATGTGTTTTTCTTGTTGTTTTCTTTCCCTTTTTTTTTTGGTTTTTTATGGGTGTAACTCTATCGAGTTTTATGGAAAGCAGACATCTTGTACAATTTCAATTTTACTTTGTTATGCTGATTACAGGTTCTTAGAAGTGTGGGACAATGGTCTGCTGGAACGAGCCAAACTGAAGAGAGCATTCACAATGCCTATTGTTCTCTTATTGAAAGAGCAGAACACTTTATCTACATCGAGGTTTGCCTTTTTTTTATTTTATTACCGTGCACATTTTTAATGTTAAATAAATTGCTTGCGGTTTCCTTGGTGCACCATGGTATTAAGATGACATTATTTTTAATTAACGCTTGTGCTCTAACTGTTTGCAATTTCCACTGGTTGCTTTTGCCAGAATCAATTTTTTATATCAGGTCTTTCAGGAGATGATATTATAAAGAACCGCATTTTAGAAGCCCTATATAGGCGTATCATGCGCGCAGAGAAAGAAAATAAGTGCTTTAGGGTTATTATAGTTATTCCACTGGTACCTGGTTTCCAGGTAATTTTTCTTTTAACGTTGCCTTTTCTTGTTTTACAGAAGTATTTGTTCCCCTACCCTTTACAGAATATCCATTAACTCAGGGTGGCATTGATGATGGTGGCGCTGCAACTGTGAGGGCAATAATGCATTGGCAATACAGGACTATCTGCAGAGGGCCAAATTCGATATTGCAGAATCTTTATGATATAATGGGCCAAAAAGCACATGATTATATATCTTTCTATGGTCTCAGATCATACGGAAGACTTTGTGATGGAGGTCCTTTAGCTACTAATCTGGTGAGTCACTGGTAATTTATTTGCATATTTTCTGCTGATTTTGCTAGTAGTGACGTGACTTACCTCTTATTGATGTTTTAATGATAATTTGATTTTTCGACCTGTCCTATAGAAAAATTCATCTGATCCAACTGTCATCAGCTCCTTAAAAAGATTTTTCTTTGCCATTGGCTGGTGGGGGATATAGCATTGGACTGCTTGTCATATTCTAGGAAAATTTCGTAAACTGCCTAAACAGTTTACCTCAAATTGATAGTAGTCTGTTGACCACTCTTGTTCGGATTAACTAACCATTCTCATGCTAACTTTGTTGGTTTTATTGTGTGTGGCTAACTGCAAAGATGAATGCAAAAAGTACTTCTTATTATCCTCTTTACCACTCTTTTGGAAAGCACAAGCTTGTGAGACTTTTGTGTGTTTCCTTCATTTTGGAGTTTGTGTTTTTAAGTTTAGACTATTCAAAATAATTCTTGCTGTCGTCTTTATGCACTTTAACTGAATGCAAGCTTGGGGGACTCAGTCATTCCCTTCACTTCGATTTTGGTTAAGCTCAAAATTTTCTGGTTTTAGATACTCAAGTGGAAGAACTAAGCTTGAAATCCTCTAACAATCTACAAACCAACTTGAAAACAAAATGCAAACTTGATTCAAGTTTAATCTGCCTCGAAAACAATATGAGCAAGCCTGAACATGACTAGCTCTTTTAGTTTGCCTGCTTCCTTGCACCCTCATGCTTATATCATTACACGAGACAATTATGGGGCTACTGCCAAGATTGCTCTCTCAGAAGGACTTCTAAATGTTTTAGAGATGTAAATTATATATGCATTTGTTGAGTTTTATCTCACTCCATTCTTGCATATCTATGGTTTCCTCAGTTGTGCATTGGTATTAATCATCATGACCATCTTGTTGCCTTTTTATTACCAAAGAAATTGGCTGGGGAAGACAAGGCCTATGGAAATATCAAATGGATTTTACCACGGCCTGTCAACCTGATGTAAACTCTCAGTATATTCCTGTAAACTGAAACTATTGATGATGGAGTCTTGCTAGAAATTCTAGAAGGCTACTTGACTATTCACAAAACCTACTTTTTATCACTGTTAGGTCCATGCAGCCAAGGGAAGGTTTCCTAAATTCGCCATATTTAAACTCATGTTGAAGGGGTGCCATGATAAATTTGATATAAGGAAAATCATTTAGCTCCTAGTCACCAATTTCTCAATACGCCACTGTGAAAGTACTAGTCAAAAAGTATGTGGGACATATGAATGGTTTTATTGGAGTAGATGTACTGCATTTATTGTTGCTGTTATTATTTGTATTTGAACCACACATGCCTGTGTTTTAAGTGCTGTATTGCATCTTTTAGGTGTATGTGCACAGCAAATTGATGATAGTTGATGACCGTATGGTGTTAATTGGGTCGGCTAATATAAATGACAGGAGTTTGCTTGGGTCACGGGACTCTGAGGTACCCTTCTTTCGTTATATTTGCATTATTAGTTACTGAGGACTTTTGACACCCAAAACAGTCTTCCAGTCTGTTTGATCAAAGGCTAAAATATATTTGCTAGACTAACTGAATTACTAGAAGTAAATATTTCAATTTATTAATGACTAGAATGGGATGCATTAATGCCTTTTGCTAATTCAATTTCATATGGAACAGTTGGTATCTACTAAATTATGCTACAATAACAACAACAAAGCTTTTATCCCAAATGTTTGGAGGTGGCTACATGAATCCTATTCTTCCATTCAGTTCTATTAATAGGTCATCTCCTCCTTAAATTAACGATCACCATATCTTTCTCAATTGCTTCCAACCAAATTCTTTTAGGTCTACCTCTAGATCCCTTTGTCCCGTTAGCTACAATATTATCTATTTTCTCAACCGGTGCACTAAGAGGTCTCCGTTGTACATGGCCAAACTATAGTCTATTCTCTCTCATTTTAACCTAAATTGGGGCAACCTCTAATTTACTACGAATACACTCGTTTCTTATCCTATCTTTTAGGGTACACCCCAAGACTATTGTAACATTCTCATTTCTACCATGCTCATTTTTTGCTCATGTTGTTTCTTAATTTCCCCGACCCATAAAGTATTATTGGCCTTACAACTGTCCTATAATTTTCCCTTTAGTCTCATAGGTATTCTATGATCACATAACACTCCCGAAGCACTCCTCCAGTCTAATCATCTTGATTTGATTCGATGGGCAACATCATCCTCAATCTCACCATTATGATGAATGATTGATCCCAAATAACAAATTTACTAAATCATGCTAAAAGATTGAAATAATCGCGAATACGATCTTTTGTCAGAGTCACAAAATGACTAAATACTTGTCTGCACAAATTTAAGTATCGTCTTTATCCTAATCTGAACTCCTCTTTCGATGTAACACATGTATAGAATTCCTGAAATATTTCTGTATACAATCAGCATATTCATTTCTGCTTGATGCTTTAATCATTTTATTATAACAGTAAATATGTGTCACTATTTACAAACGCATGAGTAAAATAAACCCATTTGGTAAAATATTATCCAGATGTTAAAGGGAAGAAATCTTCCAATTCAGCTTGTTAGAGCATAAAATTATAACCTTAATGCTCATGACAGTATCATACCTTTACTGCAATGGAAGGGGCTTTTAACATGATATCACAGCAATTCATGTTCATTCTCACTGCCTATGAATTTAAAGAGCATTTTAAAAAAATGACTCAGTTTGAATCTAGGTTTCAATCCATAAAAAGGCACCCTACCTATGGTGACAAATTAAAGTATGAAATTATAACCCTAATTACAACTTCAGAGTTTCCGTGGAGCGAAAGGGACCTTTGGCAAAGTGGAAGGTCTTTACAGCTGCAGAAGAACTCTAAAGTTTTGGTATAGTGGAAGGGACCTTTGACATAGTACCAGGCAACCTAGGCCACAAATTTAAAATGGATTTAGGAAAGAGTTATTTGCACTTAATATCCCAAGGTTTACATCATTTTTAACTGTGGTACCCCGAAGGTTTTTTTAACTTTGATACCCCAAATGTCAATAAAGCCTTTGGTACCCCGGTTAAGTCATTTAGGGTATCAAAGTTAAATATTTTTTAAATTTTGGGGTATTTGTTGGGCAAAAAAAACTTTTAAGACGCTCAATCTATGGGGACATGTCAGGGTATAAAATTATAACCCACAACCATTGTAACAAATTCAGAGTTTTGTAGTGGCATGAACCTTTTAACACAATCAATAACTTAATTGACTTGGATTGGATTAAGCTGTCACTTTAAAACTGTAGTTTAGATGTGTGTCATATTTTCTATGTCGTAGTGTATTATTTCAAATGCCTTAAACTGTACATCCTGATACGCGTCAGACAAGGAACACCGCTATATTCTGCCAGAACCACTATATATATATGTGTGTGTGCGCGCGCGCGCGCGCATATACATATACATATATGTCTATGTATATATACATATGTATGTATGTATGTATGTATGTATGTATGTATGTATGTGTGTGTGTATGTGTGTATGTATGTGTGTGTGTGTGTGTATAGACACACACACATGCCATTACACATTATCACTCATACTTGGTTTGGTACTTGTTATGTTCGATGAACTTATCAGATGTCACAGCAATGCATAACACAAGAAAAGATCCACATAGCATGTGTAAAATCTTGTGCATTCAGGAGGAAATGTTAGTGGCACTATGCACACCATATACCGACTAGCTGAACATTTTTGTGTAAGGAGAAGGATGTGAAATTTATCAAATATAGATAAAGAGACGTGTCACTTTCAATATAAGAGGTAACTTGGCTCCTCAATTTAAGTACATAACATAAGTTTTATTATGCTTTCACGTTACTTTTCCACCACTTCTTTAAACATCAAGTTTGGCTTCTTATGTTCTATGTTTACGTGCGTAGATTGGTGTCATTATTGAAGATAAAGATTCTGTTGGTTCATTTATGAATGGAAGACCGTGGAGAGCTGGGAAATTTGCTCTTAGCTTACGACTCTCTTTATGGTCTGAACATCTTGGCCTTCGTCCTCAAGAGGTTAGTATCTCTAAAATGCTGCTATGCATTTTCAACTCTGGTAATAGACAAGATTATTTTCCGTCTGTTATTTCAGTATATAAGGATGACTTTTTCATGTAGATGGATGGCTACGTTCTAGTTCATTGCATTATTCATGTTCGATATTCATACCTCTGGCAGAATCCTATGTTTAGTTTCCTTTTTGTTAACACGGTGATAGATGGAGATTGTCCAGGCCATTCCACCTGTCAATTTTGTTTCCTTTCCCCGCATTTTATTAATTTTCAACTAAACCTTGGATAATATTTGTACAAGCAAATATCCCCGCATTGCATGGTTATATGAAGTACAATTATATAATAATTATTTTATTCTTTAGAATATAACATAATTCCAATATTATGAGTTTTATTTCAGAAGAAGAAACTTTAATTAGGGTCATTAATCTTAAATGCCGGGTTTGATTTCACCAATCACCGTATTATAAATTTTTCAACAATCTTTGCAAGATCTTTTTGTGTTTTGCGCATGCTCTTTGTGATTATTCATTGAGTTTGGTTGTCCCCTTACTTCTAGGAGTTATAATTTGAGTCTTGGTTTGACAGGAAGTAGGGACCAACATCTAATGGTTTGAATCCGTATAGGTGACGAGGCGAATTTTTCTTTGTGTGTACTATTAGCCCTTATATGCTTGCAGTTTGATCTTCACCTTTTCTTCTTTATACCTCCTTTTACATCATTGGCTTACCTAATAAGAGGACAAGTTTGTCAACCCAAACTTTTCTTACAAGTGTTATTAAGTCTCTAGTCTTCACAACATGGTGGAAGCAAATAAATTTGATCCTTGTGCTGTTTTAAGAATGGTCATGTTGAGTGTTCAACCTGACTATTGCCTCAGGGAAGAGATCATTCTTCAGATTCTGTGAGCTCCATTTATATTTCAGTACTGTATGTACAACACTTTCCTTTCAAATCTTTCAGATTAATCGAATCAGTGATCCTGTGATTGATGCAACTTACGAAGACATATGGATGACTACAGCAAAGGTGAGGAATACAGAAACTTTGGCAAATTCATTTATTTCCTCTATGTATTTGTCCCTCCTTGACTGCCTTTAAATCTAACTATTGGCCAATTATCCATGTGATACGTTGCCAAAGATCAAATACCTTATGGCTTGTATCTTGTTCCATCAACTGCCACATCGTGGGAAGTCTATTGATTCACATATATGATGGATGGAAAATAGTAAATTTTTTCCCCTTTCTTTTCTTTTCCTTATTATCGCACGGAAATGAGGACAAGCCTTGTTAAGAATCCTCATAAAATTATGTTTATTCATACGTCACTAACTGAAGATCAGCTTCGCTGAGGCAATAGAAGTATATTACACAACAAACTTGGCACCACAATTATGATGGAAGCGTGCGTGTAGTAAGAATATGAGTTTTGCTGTGCTACTATTGATAGTATTACACTGAACTTTCTGTAAACAAATATCCAATGATTTCAACATGTTCTTGATCATGTATCAAAGAATAAAAACTTATTCGACTCTATGAAAATTCTGAAACTTTGAGTTCAAGGTTTAATTGTGAGATGCAAGGTTAAAAAAAAACGTTGAGATCATCCTAGATATTATTTAAATAGCTTATCTGTAGTAGGGATGAATTTTCGCCCTCGCTATTTGTTTCTTATTTATTCGATCTCTTTTAAGTGCTTAATGTTTGTGTTGATGTTCATTGTAACCTTCTTATATTTTGGCAGACAAACACTATGATCTACCAAGATGTCTTTGCATGTGTACCCAATGATCTTATACACTCAAGGTATAGTTTGGGCACGCTTTAACTTATTTTGTGAGTCTTTTTTTTTTCCTTCCAATTCTCAAGAAAGTAAAACATCTCATAAAATGTAGATCTTCTATTCGTCAAAGTATGTCCTACTGGAAAGAGAAACTCGGCCACACCACAATCGATCTTGGAATCGCTCCAGAAAAGCTTGAACCATATCAAAATGGAGATGTAACGAGTAACGATCCGTTCGATAGATTGCAATCAGTAAGGGGTCATCTGGTTTGTTTTCCATTAGATTTTATGTGCCAGGAGGATTTGAGACCATTCTTCAACGAAAGCGAATTCTATGCCTCCCCTCAAGTTTTTTACTGAAGTCTCGATTTATTAGTAAAAATTTCTTGCATGGCTGCTCCTGTCGGGAGGGTGATATTATTGTACATATTGTATATTGCGGCAGCTTTGCACATGTATTTCAAATAAATCATAAAGAGAGGAGAGGTGGCTCTTTTTTCTTTCTTTTTATTATTATTATTATTTATTGTAACTTTTCATGTTAGGGAAAGGACCATTGTAAAGTCTAATAAAAGGATCATTCTTTTGTATAACGGGAAGGTCCAAAGTCTACGAATTTTGCATCACCGTCACCCATCAATTTATGCATGCAGAAGTTCCCCCCTTTTATGCAGGTAGAAGCCCCGTTGTGCCCAACAATTAGGGCACAGCCTCATCTCGCTTCTCTTTTCCGAATTTTCATCCGATCTCACATCTATCTACCCCGATTTTCATTCGCCCTATCACAATCTCTCTTCCTCAATAGCCCTAACATCATTCCCTTTATTCTCTCCAAAACACCCCTTTTGTTAGGATACACCCCAATAAGAACGCCTCTAACGGAGACGCAATACACAAAATAAAGGCACAAGATCAACCAGAGTACTCACAGATATACGTGGTTCACTCCTTCAGAGCTACTCCACGGTGCAACGACGACGCCAAATTCTTTTATATCCCAAAAGAATAGATCCAAGAGAACACTCTCTCTTGATCAGATACACTCCAAGAACTCTCACAAACTCTCTCTATGTTTTCTCTTACTCTTCTATAAGAGGAGTTGTTTCTGGGATGAGATTTTCTTAAGAGTTTAGGGCCCTATTTATAGTGTTTGGGAAACACTATGCACTAATAAAATATTATTAGTGGGACCCGTCACTAATAATAATTAACTAGTGGGACCCGCATACTTTTTCTTTCTTCAAACTCTTCGGCCACTTTTTCACAAATGTCATAAAAGTGGGGGCCACCTTTTTACAAATGTCAAGAAAAGGGGCTGGGGTTGGTGGAGCTTTCGGCTAACAATCTCCCACTTGAAGATTTAATTGAGTATCAAACATATCTTCACATCATTCTTGGTTGCATCATCCGGATGTATTGTATCTTTGGCGTCTTGCACGGCCTTCAACATTCTCAACGGAGGCCATATGAGGCTGCACACAGCCTCACCTTCTCGAGTGGAACTGGCTTGGTCAGCATATCGGCTGGATTGTACCTCGTATCAATCTTCACAAGCTTGAACTCGTTCCTGCTTTGCCATCTCCGTATGGCATGGTGCTTCACGTCAACATGCTTGGTCCGAGCATGGAATGCGTCGTTCTCTGACAAGTGAATGGCACTCTGACTGTCGCAGTGGATGAAGTATTTCTCAAAGCTTACTCCAAGCTCGAGAAGAAAAGCCTTCAACCATAGCAACTCCTTTGCTGCCTCTACTGCAGACACGTACTCGGCTTCGGTTGTCGACAAAGCCACAGTATCTTGTAACTTGGATCTCCAACTTATCGCTCCACCACCCAAGATGAAGATGTAGCCGCTCGTACTCCTTCTCGAGTCTATATCCCCGGCATAGTCTGCATCACAAAAGCCCTCTAGCTGCAAATCTGCCCCGCCATACTCAAGACAACGGTCGGACGAGCTTCTCAAGTAGCGTAGAAGCCACTTGACCGCACCCCAGTGTTGTTTCCCTGGATTGCTCATAAAGCGGCTCACAACTCCTACTCCTTGTGCAATATCTGGCCTTGTGCACACCATCGCATACATCAAACTCCCGACGACAGATGCATATGGTATGTTTGCCATGAACTCGTGCTCTTCAGCAGTCTCTGGTGCTTGGGTCTTCGATAGCTTGAAATGACTTGCAAACGGCGAGCCCACCGGTTTAGCTTTCTCCATGCCAAACTTTTCAAGAATCTTCTCAATGTAGGCCTTCTGAGACAACCTCAGCCTCTGTGCTGATCTGTCTCTGATGATCCTCATTCCCAGAATCTGGTTTGCTAGACCCAGATCCTTCATCTCGAAACACTCGGAGAGACGCCCCTTGAGTTCCTCAATGCGGGCCAAGTCGGGCCCTGCAATCAACATGTCTACACCGCATTCTCATGGAATACGACGTCACGACTGCGCACCACCTTGCGCGCATCGTGATCCCAGAAACGGTACCCATACTCATCTCCTCCATAGCCGATGAAAGAGAGCTTCTTTGACTTTGGATCAAGCTTTGACCGGTCTGCAGGATTGGTCATGACATAGGCGTCACAACCAAATACTCGTAAGTGCTCTAGCTTCAGCTTCTTTCCGGTCCAAGCCTCTTCAGGTATCCCATAATTGAGAGCCGCGGATGGCCCGCGGTTGATCAAGTATGCAGCAGTATTGACAGCTTCAGCCCAAAAGCTCTTGGGCAATCCGGAGTGGATCCTCATACTTCTGGCGCGCTCCAAGATAGTGCGATTCATGCGCTCCGCCACTCCGTTGTGCTGAGGTGTTCCTGGGACGGTCTTCAGTCTCCGAATCCCACGGGACGAGCAGAAGTTCTCGAACTCCTGGCTGCAATACTCGCCTCCATTATCAGACTTTAGGCACTTCAGCTTATTGCCTGTTTCGTTCTCCACACAGGCAAGCCACTTCTTGAAGATGATGAATACATCTGACTTGTGCTTCAAGAAGAACACCCACAATTTTCTCGTAGCATCATCAATAAAAGTGACAAAGTAAAGAGAGTTACCAACAGATGGGACTTGCGCAGGTCCCCACACGTCGGTGTGCACCAACTCCAATTTCTGCAGTTTTGGAGCCGGTCCGGTCTTGTTGAAGCTCACCTTCTTTTGTTTGCCTAGGATGCAGTCCTCACAGAAAGTCAGATCGATCTTGTTCAGACCCGGAAGCCTCTCTCCCGCGGCCATAATCTGCATCCCCTTCTCGCTCATGTGGCCAAGTCGTCGATGCCAAGTCATGCAGTCGACGGATGATGATGATGATGCTTGTCCTGCGGCAAGCAAGTGGTCGATCTTCCCGTTGGCGATGTAGAGAGACCCCTCGCGTTTGCCGTGTGCCACCACCAGGGCACCCTTGGACACCTTCCAGCTTCTCTGCTCGAATGATACTCTGTAACCGGAGTCAGTCAGTTGCCCGACTGATATAAGATTTCGCCTGAGATCTGGTACATGCCGAACATCATTCAGCGTCAAGGTGGTCCCGCCCTCCATCTTGAGGGTACAATTTCCCTTCCCGGAAACTTTGCAAGGTTGATCGTCGCCAAGATAGACTGTCTCCAAGTCCTTCTTCACGAACGATGAAAGCAGCTTTTGTTGTGAGGTTGCATGAAAAGATGCGCCAGAGTCGATGACCCACGCATCACTTTTGTCTTCTAGGGATAGGAGAAGTGCATCCGAATCCGTCTCGTGCATGAGATTGGCTGCACCGTCAGCCCGATCATCCCCTGCTGATGCTTGAACAGTAACTCTGCAGTCCCGTGCAAAGTGGCCCTTCTTTCCGCATCTGAAGCACTTCCCTTCACCGTAACCATTCGGGTTAGGCCCTTTAGACTTCCCTCTGGATTTTGATTGGCCTCGTCGTCCCCTACCCTTCTTCTGTGCACGCCCTCGTGCCTCGACATGCAGAGCACTCCCACTGCTAGAGGCCTCAGCTCCTGAGACTTTGCGGCGAGATTCTTCATCCAGAATTGCCACAACCACTGTGTCGAGCTTCATCTTGTCATTGTCATTAGCTGCTCACCGTTCGAGCTTCATCTTGTCATTGCCATTAGCGTTGCTCACCGCCATTACCATATTCTCCCATGAATCTGGTAGACAAGAAAGTAGCAGAAGAGCTTGGATCTCGTTGTCGAACTTTAGATCTACTGCAGCAAGCTGTTGCACCACAGCCTGAAATTCGTTCAAGAAGTCCGCCACGCGAGCTCCTTGCTGCATCTTGAGATTGAATAGCTTCTTCATCAGGTACACCTTATTTGAAGCAGACGGCTTCTCATACAGCGCCTCCAAGGCCTCCATCAACTCCTTGGTGGTGGTCGCATGCGAGACGTTGTAAGTCACATGCTGGTGAAGGTTGAGCCTGATGGTGGCAAGTGCTTTACGATCGAGCACCTTCCACTTATCGTCGTCCATCTTCTCAGGTTTCCCCGCCTCTCCTTGGAGGGGTAGGAAGAGATCCTTCTGGTACAAATAGTCTTCTATTTGCATCCTCCAATACCTGAAATTTTGGCCGCCGAACTTCTCAATTCGAAGCCTGTTGTCTTCAACTGTAGATCCCATGGCGAAAGATTACGTCTTTCCCGTATTCGTCAATAGTACAGTATTCGTGAATAGTACTGTATCCGTGAATAGTACCGTATCCGTGAATAGTACCGTACACGTGAATAGTACCATACACGTGAATAGTGTCGTGCACGTGAATAGTGCCCAATGCCTTAAAAGAGTAAATATTAATCTAACTTATTTTCTGATGTGGAGGATCCACTTTTAGTGCCAGCCACAGAGCATACGATAAGCAGATATATATACTCTAAGTCAGGCTCTGATACCAGTTGTTAGGATACACCCCAATAAGAACGCCTCTAACGGAGACGCAATACACAAAATAAAGGCACAAGATCAACCAGAGTACTCACAGATATA